AAAGGGATGCAGTCAATGTTGATAAATGCAAAGTTCTGAAGCTCGGGAGTGTCCATAACCCTAACACTTATAAGTTAAATAATGTAGAACTTAGCCATACAGATTGCGAAAAGGACTTGGGGGTTATGGTGAGCAGTAACCTTAAACCAAGACAGCAATGCCTAAGCGTACGTAATAAGGCAAATAGATTACTGGGATTTATATCAAGAAGTGTAAGCAACAGAAGTCCAGAGGTCATACTGCAGCTTTATACATCATTAGTAAGGCCTCACCTAGATTATGCAGCTCAGTTCTGGTCTCCATATTACAGAATGGACATAAATTCGTTAGAAAACATTCAGCGTAGAATGACTAAATACATAGCATTAGAAATCTTCCTTATGAAGAAAGATTGAAGACTTAGATGAAGAATGAGGGGAGACATGATGGAAGTGTATAAGTGGAAGATGGGTATTAATAAAGGGGATATTAATAAGGTCTTGAGGATATCTCTCCAAGAGAGAACCCGCAGTAATGGATTTAAATTAGACAAGTTTAGATTAAGAAAGGACATAGGAAAGTATTGGTTTGTAAAGGACCTGCCTAGTATGGGCCAACAGGCCTGCTGTAGTGATCCTCCTTTCTTATGTTCTTATGTACTTTGGTAATCATCTTTGTCTGCAATATTTTTATTTAACTCTTCATGCAATGAGTCACTGTTCACTAATTTGTGAATAAATACTAGAACATGATAAGAGATTTATTGAAGTGTGTCACCATCATTAACAATATTGAAGTGTGTCACCATCATTAACAATATTGAAGTGTGTCACCATCATTAACAATATTGAAGTGTCACCATCATTAACAATATAAACAAGAGCTGATAATGACCGTAAAGAAAAGTTATTCATATCTTCCTCATTATCCACTAAACATTAATCTTGTTACATCACTGCTTATATGGTCATGCATACGTATAATGAAAATATTGTACTTACTTACTTGTATAGCTTGGGGAATTAAAATCGAGATGTGGACTTCAAAACTCACTGCTTGACTGCCAGGGCATCACTGTATACGCAGTTAGTGGCGCCAGTGGTGGAGTTCCCGTGGAGATGTGGGAATTTAATGGGGGAGAGGAAAGGGAAGGGAGGGAGGGAGGGGATGTGACGATATACGGTGAGTAGCGCTACTGATCTTTTGGGGACTGCGATTTTTTATTACTAAATAAAATTAAGTACAAATACAGTGCGCAGTCTCTCTATTCTATATGATAGTTACAGTATGGGAACGTTATCGGTGAGTCGTCGAGAGATTGGCACCCGTCTCAACTCACTCCTGGCAAGTATTTTAAGTATGGTAACATTACTTACCTGTGTTTCAACGATACATAATATATATATATATTATATATATATATATATATATAATATATATATATATATATATATATATATATATATAATATTATATATGTCGTGCCGAATAAGTAAAACTTGCGATTTTGGCTTAAACAGCAACACTCTTCTTTCCGAATAAGGCAAATGAAAATTTGTGTATGCAATAATTTCGCAAACAATTATTTTGAACCTAACGAAAAAATATATTATTGTGTTTGTTTATTATTACATTTTCGTAAATTTATCTAAAATATATTTAGTTGGATTAGGCTAAATTAAATTGCGCTTGTTGTAGTAAGGTTAGGTAAGTTTTTTAAGATTCTTTTGGTAGGAAATTATTAATTTTTACGTTAACATAAATGAAAAAGAGATTTTTTTTAGAAAGGACCTAATTTTAAACGAGTTCTTCTCTTGCTAACTGATCAGTTTTTACCTATTCGGCACTACATACATACAAACAAATAATTATATATATATATATATATATTTATATATATATATATATATAATATATATAATATTTATAAATATATATATATATGGTTTAGAAAGACAGTAAGCAAACACTATAACATATTTATTAAAAACGTTTCGTCCCTTAACCTTTTTAAATAAAAGGAAGAAAGGGCCAAAAACAATTTTTTTGAAAGACCCAAAGGGATACAAACAAACAAATAAATATAAATTCAAATATTTTATAAAAATAAATTAAAATAAGGGTTTTTAAAAAAGGATTTGAAGAAAAATTAACTTTTATTAAAAAACTTTTGGTAGGGGGAACCTTGAATCTTTAAAACTCAAGGCGGGCAAACCAAAGAAAAAAGGGGTTTAGGAAGTAAATGGGAGGGGGGGAAAAGGGGGCAAGGGAGACTATTTTTGGGAAGTGTTCAGAAAAGGAAATTTAAGCCGGGTTTAAGAGAAAGGGGGGGAGGTTTGAAAAAAACCTTTTCCTTTGAATTTGGGTTGTAATTTGAAGCTTAAACCCTTGATATTTGGACGGGCCGGGTCACCGGGGGTTTTTTGGGTAAAAGTCGGGGACGGGTTAAAATGGGTTTTAAAATTTTTTTGAAGGAAAAGGGTTTAAAAGGGTAAGGGTTTTCCCAAAAAAGGGTTTTAGGGGAAATAAAGGGGTTATTTCCTTCTTTTTGGATGTTCCCACCCGGGGTTTTTTTCCCCCTACAAAATGGGGGTCAGTTTTTTAAAGGGAAAAGGGGGTAAAATTTAATTTTTTGGGGGGGGGTTATTTTTTTGGGGGGGGGGGGGTTTTTTTTATTGGGGCCGGGGAGGTTTAAGGTTTTAAAAGAAAGCGGGGAGGGTGGGGGGTGGGGGTTTTGGGGGAAACTTGATCAACTTTTTCAGCTTTTGGTAAGGGTTTTGGGGGAAAAATTTTTCCCCAAATTGTTTGGGGCAGGAGACGGGTTTTGGTGCAAAAAGTTCGGGACTTTGGGAAAAGATCTTGAAGCCCTTCTAAATTTTGGGATTCCGGAAAATTAAAGGGCGGGCCAATGTTGTTCAGAGGGAATAGTTCTTTAATACTGGGTTGAAATTCCCGGGGCTTGCGCTTTGCAAGGTGTCATCCCACCATGAGTACAGAAACCTTTGGGAAAGGGGGCACCGTGGGGGATGGAGAGGGGGAGTTGCGGGGCGATGTCCCTGTAGTTTAGCGGTAGAGTCTTGGGGCGTCGGTTTTGTTTGGGTTATTGCATCTTATGTCGGGGGGAATTGGAGGTTTTCTTCAAAATTTTTATTTTTCTTCAATATAAATTTTTTTTCCCTAGTGGGCATTTTAGCTGCAAGGGTATAAATGTTTTACCCTTCCCAGTTAAACATTTTGGGTTTGTAGTAAGGGGGTGAAAAAAATGGTGTCCATCTTTCCCCACTTTTTTGAAAAAAACTTTTTAAATTCTTGATGGGGAAAGCCCTTTTGGTGGGGGTGATTATAGGGTAGCAGGTCCAGCAGTGGAGAGTATTAAAAAGTTCTTTTTTCCTATATGTTGGGGTAATGGGGGTAATATGAAGGGCCAGACCGTCAGAAGAGTTTGGGAAGGCCATGGAGATGTCTGAGAATGTAACCCCTTTAGCTTTGAGGGGGCTTGGGGGATCTTTGAATGCGCTCCCGCCCCCCAACGTGTTTTTTTCCCTCAATAGATGTCTTCAGTTTCAATAGAGAGAGGGGTGACGATATTGTCAAGTCTTTTTTAAAAAAGACCGAACGGTTTTGACTTCAAGAATGGGGCGGGGGTAGAGTGGAATTGTTGTGTTTGTAGGGTCCTGATTGAAGAGTTCCCTCCATTATTTTTTGTGGTTCCGTGTCCCTCTGTGCAGACGACAAAGAAGGAGTCCCTTTAAGAGAGTGGATTGCCCTAAATTTGACCTGCCCGGGAGGTCCTAACGACGGTAGCTAAAGGGTAACTTCGAGGGGTCCTTTTTTGCCCCCATTCACAGGCTTGATTTTCACACGAAATTTGAAAAGCATTGTGGGAAAAAGGGTATCACGTTTTTTAAAATTAAAAATTTTACACCCCACGGGGGCGAAGAGAGGCTGGTACAAGGTAAAAAAATTGTTTTAGAGGGAGGGAAAAAAAATTAATTATAATTGGGGGGAGAAATGAGAGGGGGAGCAAAGTGACCTGAGGGAAAGTCATAAGAAAATAAGAATTTGGGGGAACACTGTAGAAGGGGCCCACTGGGGCCCCGCGGGGGGCAGGGCCTTATCAAAACAACCTCTGTTTTGATAGGACGGGTAGACCCATGAAATCCTGTGACTCCTGTGTTGTTGGGTTGGGGCTCTTAAGTATCATGTATGCCAATGTTTTTGAAATTTTGTAGTTTCCAATTGTTGCGTTCTATAGTGTCGGGGGACGGCGATTAGTGAGGCTTCTGGGCACCGTCGGCGCCCTGAGGTCTGGTTCGGTGAGAACGAGTTGTGCCTCGTTCCAGTTCATCAAATCCCCGTGGAGTCTCTGTGGAGGCCCACGGCGTACCTTGCATCGTCTCTGTTAGAGGCATTTCGATGCTCATTCAGGCGGACTGCAAGATCTCTGCTGTCTCGCCTACATATTCTTGGGACAGAACCCACAAAAACCAGACCTCAGACGCCGACGGTGCCTAGAAGCCTCACTAATCGCCGCCCACCGACACTATAGAACGCAACACGGGAAACTACAAAATTTCAAAAACATTGCATACATGATGCTTAAGCAGCACCAACCCAACAACACAGAGTCGCATGATTTCATCGTCACCCGTCCTCATCATGGGCAGAGGTTGTTTTGATAAGGACCTGCCTCGCATGGCCAGTAGGCCTTTACAGGTTCCTCCATTCTTATGTTCTTATGACTTCCTCAGGTCACGTGCGTCACATCTCACTCTCCGCCTATATATATAATGTCTTTCTACCTCTGTATGTTAGAAAATGATCAAGGTCCCAGGACCGAAACGGGCTTCTAATAAATAGTTATGGGGTTTGCTTACGCGTCTTTCTAAACCAACTTGTCGGTATTTATTACCAAGGTTTATACCACACACACACACACACACACACACACACATATATAATATATAAAATATATATATATATATATATATATATATATAATATATATATATATATATATATATATATATAAATATATATATATTTGGAACCATCGCTGGCGAGACAGATGTCAGCCACTGAGCTTTAAGCAGTGACGTCACTGCACTGACGTCGGCTGCCAGGTGAGCAATAACCTGTAGGTAGTGACGACAGTGCCCCTCCCACCTGCAGGTAGTGACGACAGTGCCCCTCCCACCTGCAGGTAGTGACGACAGTGCCCCTCCCACCTGCAGGTAGTGACGACAGTGCCCCTCCCACCTGCAGGTAGTGACGACAGTGCCCCTCCCACCTGCAGGTAGTGACGACAGTGCCCCTCCCACCTGCAGGTAGTGACGACAGTGCCCCTCCCACCTGCAGGTAGTGACGACAGTGCCCCTCCCACCTGTAGGTAGTGACGACAGTGCCCCTCCCACCTGCAGGTAGTGACGACAGTGACCCTCCACCTGCAGGTAGTGACGACAGTGACCCTCCCACCTGCAGGTAGTGACGACAGTGAAACCCTCCACCTGCAGGTAGTGACGACCAGGGACCCTTCCACCTGCAGGTAGTGGGGAGCAGAGGACCCTACCACCTGCAGGTAGTGACGACAGTGACCCTCCCACCTGCAGGTAGTGACGACAGTGCCCCTCCCACCTGCAGGTAGTGACGACAGTGACCCTCCCACCTGCAGGTAGTGACGACAGTCCCCCTCCACTCTGCAGTAGTGACGACAGTGACCCTCCCACTGCGTTAGGTAGTGGACGACAGTGACCTCCCACCTGCAGGTAGTGACGACAGTGACCTCCCCCCTGCAGGTAGTGAAGGACAGTGACCCTCCACCTGCAGGTAGTGACGAACAGTGACCCTCCACTGCAGGTAGTGACGACAGTGAACCTCCCACCTGCGGCAGGTCGTGACGACACTTCCCTCCACCTGCAGGTAGTGACGACAGTCCCCCTCCCACCTGCAGGTAGTGACGACAGTGACCCTCCCACCTGCAGGTAGTGACGACAGTGCCCCTCCCACCTGCAGGTAGTGACGGCAGTGACCCTCCCACCTGCAGGTAGTGACGACAGTGACCCTCCCACCTGCAGGTAGTGACGACAGTGACCCTCCCACCTGCAGGTAGTGACGACAGTGACCCTCCCACCTGCAGGTAGTGACGACAGTGACCCTCCCACCTGCAGGTAGTGACGACAGTGACCTCACCACCTGCAGGTAGTGGACGGACAGTGACCCTCCACCGGTAGGTATTGACGGAGTGCCCCTCCCACTGCAGGTCGTGACGACAGTGCCCCTCCCACGAGGTCGTGACGACGTGCCCCCCTTTTTTTTCCCCCACCTTGGGGGGGGGCAGGTAGTGACGACAGTCCCCCTCCACCTGCAGGATGTGACGACAGTGCCCCTCCCACCTGCAGGTAGTGAAGACAGTGCCCCATCACACCCTGCGGTAGCTGACGACAGTTCCTCCCTCCCACCTGCGCAGGTAGTGACGACAGTGCCCCTCCCACCTGCAGGTAGTGACGACAGTCCCCCTCCCACCTGCAGGTTGTGACGACAGTGCCCCTCCCACCTGCAGGTCGAGAGACAGTGCCCTCCACCTGGCAGGTCGTGACGACAGTGCCCCTCCACCTGCAGGTAGTGACGGGACAGTGCCCCTTCCCACCTGCAGGTAGTGACGATCAAAATGCCCCTCCCACTGCAGGTAGTGACGGACCGTGCCCCTCCCACTGCAGGTATGACGACAGTGGCCCCTCCACCTGCCGGTAGTGACGACGTGACCTCCCACCTGAGGTAGTGACGACAGTGCCCCTCCCACCTGCAGGGTAGTGACGACAGTGACCCTCCACCTTGCGGTTAGTGCCGACAGGTGCACCCTCCCACCTGCAGGTTAGGAGACGTGACCCTCCCACCTGCAGGTAGTGACGACAGTGACCCTCCCACCTGCAGGTAGTGACGACAGTGACCCTCCCACCTGCAGGTAGTGACGACAGTGACCCTCCCACCTGCAGAGTTGTGAGACGGACCCTCCCACCTGCAGGTAGTTGACGACAGTGAGACCTCCACTGCAGGTAGTGACCGACAGACAAAAGGACCCTCCACCTGCAGGTGAGTGCGACAGTGACCCTCCCACCTGCCGGTAGTGCGACAGTGACCACTCCCACTGCAGGTTAGGTGAGACGTCCCCCGCCCACTGCAGTAGTGACGACAGTCCCCCCTCCACCTGCAGGTAGTGCGGGACAGTGCCCCTCCCACCTGCAGGTAGTGACGACGTGACCCCCCCCTGCAGGTAGTGCGGACGTGACCTCCACACCTGCAGGTAGTGACGAGTGACCCTCCCCCTGCAGGTAGTAGTGACGTCAGTGCCCTCACCTGCAGTCGTGACGCCAGTGACCTCCCACCTGCAGGTATAGTGACGGAAGAGACCCTCCCCTGCAGGTGTGAGACTGTGGCCCCCTCCCACCTGCAGGTAGTGACGCCAGTGACCCTCCACCGGCAGTAGTGACGAACAGTGACCTCCCACTGAGGTCGTGACGACAGTGCCCCTCCACCGGCAGGTGTGACGACAGTGACCCTCCCACCTGCAGGTAGTGACGACAGTGACCCTCCCACCTGCAGGTAGTGACGACAGGATCCCTCCCACCTCAGGTCGTGACGACAGTGCCCCCTCCCACCTTCAGTGTTAGTGACGACGTGACCTCCCACCTGCAGGTAGTGACGACAGTGACCCTCCCACCTGCAGGTAGTGACGACAGTGCCCCTCCCACCTGCAGGTAGTGACGACAGTGACCCTCCCACCTGCAGGTAGTGACGACAGTCCCCCTCCCACCTGCAGGTAGTGACGACAGTGACCCTCCCACCTGCAGGTAGTGACGACAGTGACCCTCCCACCTGCAGGTAGTGACGACGTGACCCTCCCCTGCAGGTAGTGACGCCAGTGGACCCTACCCACCTGCAGGTAGTGACGACAGTGACCTCCACTGCAGGTTAGTGACGACAGTCCCTCCCACCTGCAGGTAGTGACGACAGTGACCCTCCCACCTGCTGGTAGTGACGACAGTCCCCCTCCCCCTGCAGGTAGTGACGACAGTGACCTCCCCCCCCCCCCCTCAACCTGCAGGTAGTGACGACAGTGACCCTCCCACCTGCAGGTAGTGACGACAGTGACCCTCCCACCTGCAGGTAGTGACGACAGTGACCCTCCCACCTGCAGGTAGTGACGACAGTGACCCTCCCACCTGCAGGTAGTGACGACAGTGCCCCTCCCACCGGCAGGTATGACGACAGTTGCCCCTCCCACTGCAGGTAGTGACGACGTGCCCCTCCCACTGCAGGTAAGTGACGACGGGTGAGCCTCCCACTGCGGTTAGTGACGACAGTGACCCTCCCACCTGCAGGTAGTGACGACAGTGACCCTCCCACCTGCAGGTAGTGACGACAGTGACCCTCCCACCTGCAGTAGTGCGACAGTGACCTCCCACTGCAGGTAGAATGACGACAGTCCCCCTCCCCTGCAGGTAGTGGACGACAGTCCCCCTCCCACCTGCAGGTAGTGAACGGGACGTCCCCTCCCCCCTGCCGGTAGTTGACGACAGTCCCCTCCACCTGCAGGTAGTGGACGCCGTGAACCTCCCACCTGCAGGTAGTGACGACAGTGACCCTCCCACTGCAGGTCGTGCGACAGTGACCCTCCCCCTGCAGGTAGTGAGACCGTGACCCTCCCACCTGCAGGTAGTGCCGGCGTGCTCCACCTGCAGGTAGTGACGACAGTGACCTCCACTGGCAGGTAGTGACGACCGTGACCCTCCCCCTGCAGGTAGTGGACGGCCGTGACCCTCCACTGCCAGGTGTGACGACGTGACCCTCCCACCTGAGGGTAGTGACGGCGTGACCCTCCCCACCTGCAGGTAGTGACGCGTGACCCTCCACTGCAGGTAGTGACGACAGTGACCCTCCCCACCTTGCATGGTAGTGACGACAGTGACCTCCCACCTGAGGTAGTGACGACCTGTGACCCTCCACCTGCAGGTCGTGACGACAGTGACCTCCCTCTGCAGGTTAGTGTGACGCCAGTTGACTCCCACCTGGCAGGTCGAGTGACGACAGTGACCCTCTCCTACAGATCACGCCAGATTATTTCTCATGTATATTAGTGCGACATTAGGACATTTATATTAATAGAAACAGGAAACATGAAACTGTCGGTCATCTGGACGATTCTGTATCAGCCGCAACGTTTACTAGTACGAGTTTATTTGTAAATGGTTGCAGCCACAGAATGGGCTTCATTTTTCAGTAACAACGAATCTGGGTGAAATCTATCCATAAAAATTAGAATTTAGACTGGATCTTAACCAGGGGTGGCCCCACCCTTGAGGGTCTTGGCACACCCCCAAATAATAGGGTATGAACACCCATTCTGGGGTATGGA